CCCCCCCCCCTCCCCCCCCGTGGGGGCCCAAGGCCCCATCCCCCATTTGATCCCCCCCCCCCCCCCCCCGATATGTGGATAAGGCCAAGGAGAAGTCAAGAGAAAGACGCTCGGAATCAGGAAAGCATCGGAAGCCTTTATTCATGCGCTTTCATGTAAGAACACAAGAGAAGCCATGTCGGATCAGGCCAGTGGCCCATCCAGTCCAACATTCTGCGTCACGCAGCGGCCCCAAACCCAGGGGCCATCAGGAGGTCCACCGGCAGATGTCTGACTCTTCCGTGGCAGCTAGCATTGCTTGTGCTGTTGGGAGTCATGATGGTTCTGATGGCTATCGCCTTTGCCTGATGGACATTGGGACTGGCTTCCAGTGGTTCCTTGGCATGGATCGGCCGATTGGCAAGGACTGCCACCAGATCCGTGGCATGTGCTCCCACCGGAAACTTGGCCTGTGCTCCCACCGGAAACTTGGCATGTGCTCCCGCCAGAGACCTGGCACGCTGGAGGAGGGCACGGCTTAGGACATTCTGAAGGCTGGCATGGAGTCACACAAGGTGCCGGTGGGCAAACTGCAGGTTGCTTGCATTGCTGGGTCTGTTGATAAGACATCTTCTTTGGCTTTGGGGGGAAACCTGTAAGGGAAACAGAAGAAGAGTCCTGCGGGATCAGCCCGGTGGTCAGTCCAGCCCCGTGTCCTGTTTCATGCAATGGACAACCAATTGTCTCGCAGGGCCCACAAACAGGGCACGGAGGCCAAGGCCTTCCCCTCACGCTGCCTTGGAGAGTCATTTGAAAGTACCCTTTAGTCAGGGGTCATTTCGTAGAAAAAGAGGTGCAGGAGCTCATTAGCATAACTCATTAGCATAACTTATTTGCATATGCCACACAACCTGACATCACCGGAAGTGTGTCAGCAGGCAACACCCACCACTCAGGCTCCACTGGACTCTTTTGGATTGCTAGCTATTGGGGGGGACGGGGGACGTGCAGATCTGTCCTCGCAGAGGAGGGAGAGCTTGTACCTGAATAAAACTTGGTCTTAAAGGTACCACTGAACTGTTTGGGGGGGGGGGCTGCAACTTACCTGGCTTCTTCTTGCTCTGACTGAGGGCTGCTGGGAGCAGGGGGTGGGGCTTGTTGCACATGCCCGCCCCCTGGGCTCTTTACTGCCGGAGCTCCGCTCCTGTGCGCTCCCACAGGAAATGACCCCTGCCTTTAGTCATCATGGCTAGTAGCCACTGATGAACCAAACCTCTTCTAGTACTATATATTCTAAAAGCATCTATCCTACTGGTCATCACTGCATTCACTGACTGATTCCCACAGTTTAATTACTTGCAGAGTAAAGAAGTGTTTCCTTTTGTCCGTCCTGAAAAAACATCAGCAGAGCCCTGCTGGATCAGACCAGTGGTCCATCTTCTCCAGCATCCTGTCTCACAAAGTACCTATGGAGTAGGGTTGCCAGAAGAGGGCAACCAGGATGGTGAGAGGGTTGGAATCCAAGTCTTACGAGGAAAGGCTGAAAGAGTTGGGTCTGTTTAGCCTGGGAAAGAGAAGGCTTAGAAGGGACATGAATGCAGTCTTCAAGTATTTGAAGGGCTCTCATGTAGAAGACGGAGCAGATCTATTCTCTCTTGCTCCGGATTGCAGGACTAGATCTAATGGGTGGAAATTACAAGGGAGTCATTACTGGCTGAATATCAGAATAAACTTCCTAACTGTAAGGGTGGTTGAGCAGTGGAACAGTCTGCCTCGGGAGGTGGTGGATGCTCCTTCTCTGGTCGTTTTCAAGCAGAGGCTGGAAGATCCTCTTTCGGGTCCCTGTTTACATACTTTGTAGGTATGTAGGGCACTCTTTCGGCTGTGCTCCTGCAGAGTGCAGGGGGTTGGACTAGATGACCTGCAAGGTCCCTTCCAACTCTAGCATTCTATGATTCTATGATAGGTTTGACTCAGGAAATATCTGGGGACTTTGGGGGTGGAACCAGGAGATTTGAATATTATGCCTCTGTTGATACACCCCAAGATCGCATTAGCCTAACCCTAACCCTATGGTTAAACGGTAGATTTCCCCCCTATTGTGTAGTGGGTTGACCGCGTGGCTAGGTCCACTCAGCTCCCATAACATGGTGCACGCTTGACTCTTACACAACTAAGACAAAGACAAACGGCCAACAGGCCAACTATATACATATCCAGGGGACACCCCTGGATCCCATTGGGAGGTTCGAATTTCCCTCCCCGTTTCCCTTGGCTCCTATTGGAGAGACCAAGATGCTGGATTCCAATGTCCACCCAGGGTCAAGCCCTGGGCCGTCGCTGGCCCCTAGTGGCGGCCAGCATACACAACATCCCTCCCCCCATGTTTTGCCCCCCCAAGTCACATAGTCCTTCAGGTATGCCGGGGGCCGCCGCTCTCTGGTGGAACGTCTGGGGCTCGGAATCGGGACCTCGGGGGACCCGCTCCCCGTGCTGGGGCCCGCCTGTGGAGCCGGCCCCTCGAGTTCTGGAGCGCCTGCTGTAGGGGCCTCCTCCGTGACCTCCGGGAAGCTAGGGGCGCTGTCGGGACCCTCTTCTCTGGGCCCCAAATGGCATATGTTCCCAAACTTATTTGGCCTACCGCCCCCTTTTCAGGAAAAAAGATTACTCAGTGCCCCCTGGACATCTACCTTCAAAAAGGATGTGGACAAAATCGAGAGGGTGCAGAAGAGAGTGATGAGGATGATCAGGGGTGTGGAGACTGAGCCCGAGGAGGAAAGGCTAAGGGCCTTGGGAATGTTTAGTTTGGAGAAGAGGAGACTGAGGGGGGACACGATTGCTCTCTTTAAACGTTTATAAGGCTGTCATTGGGAGGAGGGCAGGGAGCTGTTCCAGTTGGCAGCAGAGGAGAGGACCCGAAGCAACGGATTTAAATTACATGCCGGAAGGTATTGGCTGCATATTAGGGAAAAAAAAATTCATGGTCAGAGTGGTTCAAAGGTGGAATCAGCTGCCTAGAGAGGTGGTGAGCTCCCCTTCACTGGCAGCTTTCAAGAAGAGGCTGGACGAATATTTGTCAGGGATGCTTTAGGCTGGCCCTGCATTGGGCAGGGGGTTGGGCGAGATGGTCTGCATGGCCCTTTCCAACTCTGTGACCCTATGAAGTAGTCAAAAAGATGCCATTTGTGGGTCTGCACCTAGATCATTCCAGCCCACCTGCATCGTTCCAGTGCCCCCAAGGGGGCGGTATTGTCCACTTTTGGAACCAGTGTGTTAGAGCATCACCACGAATGTGACATTATCACACCATGAGCTGTATGGGCCAAGCTAGCCCAATCTCAGCAGATCTCAGAAGCAAAGTCCTGCTTGGTCCTGGTTAGTTCTTGAATGGGAGACCACCAAGGAACTCTAGGGTTGCTACACAGGGAGAGGCCATGGGAAACCACCTCTGAACGTCTCATGCCCTGGAAACTCATCAGGGCTGCCGTAGATCAGCTGCGACTTGACGGCCCTTTCCACCCCCCGAGAAACTACCCAAAAGCGCACCCCACAAGAAAGGCAAAATACAACCAAGAGTCAACTTACCCAACTCGAAACGTCGACACGGCTACGTGGAGAAGGAAAGGGATGGTTGGCAGAGTGTGGCGAGGAAAGGCCCTTTTATAGGCCTCCCAGACGCCAACTCCTCCAGGAAACAAAGACGATGATGAATCCACCATGAATTAACACTGACAGACGTCAAATACACCCTTTCGTCTCTGATAGGCTTTCATGCACCTTCTTGGGCTCTGCTTTTCTTCTTTGTGAAAACACCCTTTTCCAGGAACAACGTATCCAATTTAATTGGTGTCGTGACAGACTGTTATGCAACGGGTCGATATAATTCTTACAAACCAGTCATCTAGTTTGGCACACATCTCGGGGATTAACTCAGAGTTTTGGGATGTAACTCACCGCTACTGTAAGCTCAGGTGGAGTCAGTGAGATGAATCTCATACGGCTAGATTTGAGTTCGGTAGCACCTTAGAGAGCACGGGATTTCCAGAGTATAAGCACTCAAGAGCCAATCCTCCCTTCGTCAGGTATCAGATGAAGGGACCCTCAAAAGCTTATACGCAAAAAAATCTGTGACCAGACTTGAATCTAGTTGTCCTACTATAGAAGAAGAAGAAGAAGAAGAAGAAGAGATTAGATTTATACCCTGCCCTTCACTTGGAGTCTCAGAGCGGCTGACAAACGCCTTTCCCTTCCCGTCCCCACAAAAGACACCCTGTGAGGTGGGTGGGGCTGAGAGAGCTCTTGACAGAAACTGCTCTTTTTCAAGGACAGCTGTGCCAGAGCTTGTGACTGACCCAAGGTCACATCAGCAGGTGCAAGTGGAGGAGTGGGGAATCAAACCCGGTTCTCCCAGATTAGAGTCCACGGACTTAACCACTACACCAAACTGGCTCTCTGTAGACCGACATGGCTACCCACTGAAACTAATATTCCCAGATAGTGATTTTTCAGAACAAATGTTGCTAAAGACTAGATGCCCCCAACAATGTCCACACTGTTTCAGGTCAGGGTTGGCATCGGCACCAAGGCCCAGGGTTTGGGGCAGTGCCCATTGCTGCCAGCACCTCCTGTACACTCACTTGTTACTGCTCAACCACCTATGCCCTGACCTGGGTATCCCACGCTAGTTCGACAGTCTCGTAGCCACGGTGGGGCTTTCGGGGGCTCAGCCCCCTTTCTTAAAGGCACAGCTCCACATCAATTTCTTCTGTAAATAATAATAATAGTAATACCTTTCAATTTATTGATTGCTCAATCCTGCAGAGCTGCTGGCTCTGAGCGATTTACAGTTATACAGGTTTCTCACAAGGGACTAACAATGGTTCATAGGGGTAGGGAGGACAACATATAATTCTTTAAATCTCACACGTTTGCAGCCGACGGGGATTTTGTTCAGCTGTGAGCTTCAGTCGTGTTCCAGACAGTATTCATTTCGACTTGGCTTGATGACGTTAGTATGCTAATTTACTGCTATTCACAGATCTTACCAGTCCCTCTGCATGCAATGCTTCTTGCAATCATTTTTTTTTAAATTAAAGGCATGCGCTCCTTTAAGCAGAGTGGAGTGCTGTGGCTGACTAATTCCTGCCCTGAGCAAGGGGGTTGGAGTAGGTGACCTCTAGGATGCCCTCGAACTCTGTGTCAAAAAACTGGTCTCCTTTAAGAGAGCTTTCCCGCCTGTTAGCTTTCTTGAGTGTAGAAGTCATCACCCCCACATTGCCGGTTTGTTCTCAGAATGGTTGCTGAGGCTGGCAGAAGCGATTAACTTGCAGCAGCTGGGAACTGTCATCTGGAGTGGTCAACAGCTTGCAATTTAGAGCTCAAAGCTCGATCTCATCAGATCTCAGAAGCTAGGCATGGTCAGCCATGGTTAATATGTGGATGGGATACCTTGAAGGAAGACCAGGGTTGCTATGCAGAAGGTAGCAATGGCAGACTGACATGATTGAGTCTCCTAAGCTAAGCAGGGTTGGTCCTGGTTAGTACTTGAATGAGAGATCACCAAGGAAGTCCAGGGTTAATATGCAGAGGCAGTTGATGGCAAACTACTTCCATTTGTGTCACCATCAATCAGCTGTGACTTGGTGGCATTTCCCATCGCCTATGCTCCCTACTGGAGCTGCGGTGGCTCAATTGGTTAAGACGCTGAACTGCAGGTTGTGGAAGGTCAGTAGTTCAGCAGTTCGAGACCAGGGTTGCCGCATGACGGAGTGAGCTCCCGTCTCTAGTTCCAGCTCCTGCCAACCTAGCAGTTCGAAAGCAAGACATTGCAAGTAGATCAAGAGGGACCACTTCGGTGGGAAGGGAACAGCGTTCCGTGCGCCTTGGTGTTTAGTCATGCCAGCCGCATGACCATGGAAACGTCTTTGGACAGCGCTGGCTCTTCGGCTTTGAAACGGAGATGAGCACCGCAAGCCTAGAGTCGGATTCGACTGGCTTTCGAGCAAGGGAACCTTTACCTTTACCTATGCTCCCTACTGCATGCATTGCCCTCGTGAGAGGACAAGGGAACACCACACAAGAAAGATGGGAGGCACACAGGTGGATGGGAAGGAGGGAGAGCACAAGGGCCCAGCGGTGGGCAGAGGAGAGGAGGGAGGGGGCCTGGGAGCAGGTTTGGTGTAGTAGTTAAGTGCATGGATTGTAATCTGGGAGAACCAGGTTTGATTCCCTGTTCCTCTGCATGCAGCTGCTGGGTGACCTTGGGTCAGTCATAAGTTCTCTCAGAGCTGTTCTCTCAAGGGCAGTCCTCGAGAGAGCTCTCTCAGCCTCACCTCCCTCTCAGGGTGTCTGTTGTGGGGAGGGGAAGGTGAGGTGATTGTAAGCCACTTTGAGACTCCAAGTGAAGGGTGGGATATAAAGCTAATCTCCTCCTCCTCCTCCTCCTCCTAGGGTCGCCAACCCCCCCCCCCGGTTTGCCACGGGTCCCCCATTTTGGGGGGGTTTCTACCCACCGCCGGCCAGATGGCCAGCACGGGAAGCCCCACCCCCAACACCCACAGCCACCCCTCCCTTTAAGTGTGTGGAACCCGTGTTTCCTCCCAAGCCTGTGTTTCTTCCCAAGCCCGATCTCCCGCTTGAGATCAGTCTCGCAGGGAAAGGCCAGCTTCGTGCATTTAAAAGGGAAATGCAGCTGCTCTTAAAGGGGAAACGCCGGCCCCTTTAAGTGCAGGGAAATGCCGTTTCTGGAGATCCAGCATGTGGGCGGGTGGGGGGGGCGGCGGATGTCCCCAACGTGATGTCATCACATTGGGGGTGCCCTGCCCCCTCCAGGAACACCCCCAAAGTCCCCCGCTGGGGGTGGAAGATGGACTTGGCAACCCTACCTCCTCCTCTTCTTCTTCTGGAAAAAAAAACCTTTATCAACCATTTCGTATAGGTAGAGGGGGTGTGGTTATGACTAATCAGAGTCAAGATGCATAAGTAACTGGGCTGAGATTGAATTAGAGGGTAAGGTCTGTGAATAGCAGTAAATTAGCATACAGAGACAAGAGTTAACAGACAGACATGAGAACTAAGTTCAGCAGCACCTCCAAGACCAACCAAGTCCAGCTCTGGGTTCAGCGAGAACTGTGAGACTCCGCATGTGTGGAGGCACACTACTTCAGATATTTCAGATACACTGAAACAGATTGCCTCCATCGTACATATAGGCGTGTGGGGGCGGGGATGTAAGTGAGCAATAAATACAGCTAAGATTGGAATAACACATTTGCTAAGACCTGTGGATAGAAGCAAATTGGCATACAGATAATAAAGGCATTAACAACCAATGTGTGAACTAACTTTGAGTCCAGTGGCACCTTTAAGATCAACAAATGGAACATAGTAGCATGTATAGTATAGTACAGTATGTAGGGGTCCTTTTGTAGAAAAAGAGGGGCAGGAGCTCCTTAGCATAACTCATTAGCATAACTCATTTGCATAGGCCACACACCCTGACATCACCGGAAGTGTGTCAGAAGGCAACACCCATCGCTCAGGCTCCACTGGACTCTTTTGGATTGCTAGCTTGGGGGGGGGGCGCACAGATCTGCCCTCACAGAGGAGGGAGATTGTTTTGGATTGCTACCTATGGCGGGGCTCTGCAACGTACCTGGCTGCGTCTTGCTCTGACTGAGGGCTGCTGGGAGCAGGGGGTGGGACTTGTTGCATGTGCCCGCCCCCTGGGCTCTTTACTGCCGGAGCTCCGCTCCTGTGCACTCCTGCAGGAAATGACCCCTGACAGAATATATAGGAAGCCTGGTCTCATCAGATCTCAGAATGTAATCAGGATCAGTACTTGGATGACAGACCACCAAAAAAGACTCAGCAGAGGAAGGCAATGGCAAACCATCTCTGCTTCTTATTCTCCTTCTAAAGGGAATTAGACAGGCATATGGAGCAGAGGTCCATCAGTGGCTATAAGCCACAAGGTATAGCTAGGGGCTCTGGGGCAAGGGATGCTCTGTCTTCTTGGTGCTTGGGGGGGGGCAAGAGTGGGAGGGCTTCTAATGTCCTGGCCCCACTGCTGGACCTCCTGACGGCACCTGGTATTTCTGGCCACTGTGTGACAGAGTGTTGGACTGGATGGGCCTTTGGCCTGATCCAACATTGGTTTCTCTTATGTTCTTAATATGGAGTTGATGTCCATCAGTGGCTATGAGTCACAAGGTATAGATAGGGGCTCTGGGGCAAGTGATGCTCTGTCTTCTTGGTGCTTGGGGGGGGGGGCAACAGTGGGAGGGCTTCTAATGTCCTGGCCCCACTGGTGGACCTCCTGATGGCACCTGGTATTTCTGGCCACTGTGTGACACAGAGTTTTGGACGGGATGGGCCTTTGGCCTGATCCAACATTGGCATCTCTTATGTTCTTATGTTCCTTGACAACTCCTTGCTAGAGTCACAGGAATGTAGAATCCTAGAATCACAGAGCTGGAAGGGGTCATACAGGCCATCTAGTCAGGCCCCCTGCTCAATGTAGGATCAGCCTAGAGCATCCCTGCCCTGTGTTTGTCCAGCCGCTGCTTAAAGACTGCCAGTGAAGGGGAGCTCACCACCTCCTGAGGCAGCTGATTCCATTGCTGAACAACTCTGACTGTAGGAGTTTCTCTTACAGGGTCGCTATATTTGG